GCAGGAAGAGTTGAGACACAACTTAGAGTAGTTTTATTAAAAAGTAGACAACTACAGCTTTGGGGGGCCAACAGGTTGACAGGGATTGGAGCAGCTACTTCAATGAATGGAACATAAAACTGAAAGCTATGAATTAACTTTTTCTATTATGTGCTTTGCTTTCCAGCAAGTCACATGTTTATCAGACTTGTTTTTATTTCATATCTGGACAATGCTTCTTTCTCACTTTACAGGTGCCTTGCAAAATACAGCAAAACGATTCTGTGCTTTGGTTACTTTGGTTAGGAACAATCCCAAGTCAGCATTTTAAATCAATTTTATAGGACCTGACTGAGAGAGAGGTAGACTCATGTGTTCCAGTTACCTTGCTCTCTGTTATGACCAAGCAGGAAGTTTCCAAATATGCCTCTACCACTCAGGAAATTTACGTCATACTTTGTATTTACATCCTGTTGAATACAGTCTTAATTTAAAAAAAAAAAATCCTACATACTATTTGAATGAAAGCATTTGAGTAATCTGTCCTGAAACTGTTTTTTTACTCTAGTTTCATATATTCTATGTATATCTGTTCTAAATGACAAATGGAATATTTCCATGACTAATAATGATAAAGGTAATTTTTCTAGAATTAACCGACTATATTATAATTCTATTTATAGTGATAATCCTCAGCTCTAATTCGTTTGATCTCTCAAGTAGCTCTTTGGTAATCACGTTCTGATTCACTAATTATGCTACTCAGTACACTAAAGATAACGAAATAAAACTCTCAATGGAGCATCCTGATGCTTCCCTCCAGGATTTACTATGTAATATTGAAATGAAGAAAATGACACAGTGTTGGTTCTGTTTCTTCTAGCAACTAGTTTAAGACTTTGGCTAAATCTCTTTCATCTTTAATTTTCTCACCTGACATGAGGGACTGGGTTAAATGATCATCATAGTACTTCCAGTGCTATTGTACTATAGGGAGTGCCAATCTTGATCTTAGATACTATGAAGTCATATTTATTTTTATTGCCAGAGGGCATCTGCACTCACCAGAGAGAGACAGAGACAGAGAGGGAGGGAGAGAGAGAAATCACCTCCCAATGGGGCATGGTCACAATCCTCCATTTTTTCTATCCTGCTAGGATTTGGGGCATGCATACACATGCCTGGTATGTTTTTCAAACCACTGGGGTCACAATGCTAACCACAGTCAGACTCATGGGATCCAGCTCTCTTAACCACTGTACACAGCCTAAATTGTATTTCTTAAATTAGAAAAAAAATAAGCCATCAGGCCAGTGGCATGCTGGCCACGTGTGTGTGCACACCCAAAATTCCACAGGAGATTGTGTCATGGCACCCCTGGGGGATGCTTTCTCACTTTATCTCTCTTTCTCTCTCCCCATCCCCAACAAGTACACGTACCCTATAGCACAAAAAAAAACCCTCCCCCAAAAAAAAAAAAAAAAAAAAAAAAAAAAAAAAAAAAGCCATGTTCTAAGTCTAAGCCACCTAATAAATATGGTGCATCTAACTGAACATATCAGTTAGGATTCTTTGTAGCTACAAGTAATAACGGATTTTGCTTAGATAAGAAGATGGACTTATTATAAAGGTACAGAAGAGTCTCACAGAACCCAAAAGACAGTAATTAAACTGAAAATAAGAAACCAAAAGATTTTCGCTCTTTGGTCTTTCCCTCCCTGTGCGCATCTGCTTCTTTCTACCTTCTCTGTCAGTCAGGTTCTTCTGCTTTCCCAACCACATAAATGTAAATAGGACACCCTGGCAGCTCTTGAATTTACAAATTATAGTCTTGACACAAGAAGAGAGATGGCTCTTTCTCAGACCAAATGCAATATTCCCAGGAAAAGACTTCAATTAATTCTCATCGGGGCAGATGCCTACCCCTGGATTAATCAATTTTTATCTAGATTTGGGGCAAACTAGATCAAAGATAACAGCTTTCACTACAATCCCAAGGAACAAAACAGGAATTTCTAGAAAGGGAGAATAAGTAGAAAATCCAGTACTATGTTCATGCCCTAAAATATTGCATTACTTGATAGTATTTCCCTTTTTTTAGAAACTAATGTTTATTTTCTGTCAACCTTATTTCCACTTCACCTAAGAGTCTGTGGAAGAATAGCTTAAGACCATTTGGTGGTTGTTCCATCCATTACGTAGCCTGAGCAGTGGAGGCTGCAGACCAGCGGTCAGTGGCAGGCTGAGCACTCCTGTTTAAGTAGGGAACTGCTAGATGGGCACAGAGGGCACCTGCATGCCTTCAGACCAGTCTGAGACCTCAGGCTGAGCAGCAGTGAACTCAGAAGCTGGAGCAGTCCATTTACCTGAAATTCCTCCTCGGCCACAGGTTTTCTCAGCAGCACTTTCTTTTCCATCTTTTCAGAATCTGTGGAAGTAGGGATGGGGAGGGGTGGCGGTGGGCAGATGGCATAGCATTTGCATCACTGGACTCCCACATGGGTGAACCGTGGTTTGAGTATCAGACCTGTGGCCTTGAAAATCACACCAGGTGCATGTGCGTCTGTGCCCAAGATCTCAGGAGGAGAATAGAGAAGGAACTGCAATGTGGCCATCCCCCTGGGGAGTGATTTCTCACTTTCTCTCTCTCTGTCTCTGTCTCTCTCTC